TATACACTTTAATATGCTAACAAACAAAAGATACTAAATTGGTGTCTACGTTATGCACTGTAAGCCATCATTTCAGGTGTTTTTAACTCCAACGAAGCCTTCGTCAGTATAAAGTACATCTTATTGACTTCAGTCTCCCATGCATTTTATTGAAATTCACGCAATCCTCTTTTAAAATGCTCTGCGAATATAACAAAAGTCATTGTTAACGACGTTAACAATGCCAGCGTTCCAATTCTGTATGTTCTTCTTACCCAATGACCATTTTACTATAGGGCTTATTCACCACAGATTGTCACGTGACTCTCCCCCTGGCGTCCGCCATTTTGGGGCTATCGCTATGCAATGCTATGCAAACTCTTGGCGATAGTTGTGTATTTTGGGCCACAATCTTTGGACACTCTTCTTGTTAGTAACATTGTCCTTTGGGTTGTTCTGGCTCCGTGTCCACTTTTCATGTTGTCAAGATTGGCTTTTCAGTCTTTCTTTGCTGATCAGAAATCGGTGTGTTTAATCCTGGCGCGGCGTACGGGGCTGTACATGTACATGTAGATTGAAACGTGGGTAGCCATGAACACGGTAAAATGTTGGATTCGGAGCTACTTGTCCCTTTACTCTGTGGTAAATCTCCATGTAGAACAGGGTGCTGGCAACGTGTAACACTCACCTTGTCCAGCCACAGTCGCGGCAGTGCGGACTGAGGATGGCGGCCGATGGCCTCGCCTTTGCTTGTTGTTTATCCAGACACACTCCGGGGCTGTTCCAAAATAGCCGCGACTTTTTGCGTTTCCCGACTACAACGTACTTAATTGTCACCACGCAACTGTCCCACAACACTTTCTACACATCCTGATAAAACGCTTCCAGACTCTTGAACCGATCCTGTGTGTAAAAACTTCTGCCCAGTACCAAATACGAAGCTAAGTCACGTAAATGGACTCCGCTGGCGGTAGACGCCGTTTCTATCAGACTGATCAAAACTCAACAGAAACGGGTCAATCCCAACAGATTTTATTTTGTTCCAGTAACGAGAGGTATGAGTGGTGGTAAACTCTTCGTGTAATAGGACAAAGGACAGTTTACCTAACGTTTGTCGGCCATTTCAATGCTTGGAAACTCGCTGTAGGCGCTGTAGCCCCAAAATGGCGTCGCACGGGACATGAGGGGTCGTGACGTCATGATGACGTGTGGTGAATAAGCTCTATTCATCCCAAAACAGTACTGACCCAAAGGCGTGTGTTGTACACAAAAGCAGTTACCGTAAAGGGGTTGACTTGGCGCTGTTGGGATCTTCTGCTGGCTACACATAGTTATTATTAGGGACTGTATCTTAGTGTGCATTAGAAATACATATTATGTAGTAATAACTGATGTTTATAGGTGATAGCTAGTCGGTCGAAGCACCATTTTGAATGAGTAACAGCTTTTTCAGAGCTCATATCTAATGTGTTCTGTTGTGTCGACAATCAGTCAGAAACATATTATATATAGCCATTTGATTTTATTGATATAACCATTGCAGTTGACGGGATTGCTATGGTTTCTACGCAACTCTTAGTTTCCAAGCCTGTGAATCGATTAAATAGAATACTGACAGTTGCAAAATGTGGAAAATACACTAAAACTAAGCCAGATCCATATGCGTACCAATAAACTACATTTACGTAACTTACACAACGTGTTTTCGGTAATGACGCCTGTGTAAATACCATTTCCTTTCACAATATTCTTTATCTTGTGGTCATCTCATGACAAAGGGTTTGTAGGAGAGAAAAAAATGGTTATAGAGGCTTTTTACTGACGTCATAATAATCACAATATGAATCTAGGCGGGTAAATTGATAAAATACCAGCATGTTGGCATGTTTATATAACACAAATTACCTGTAATAGAACATGGCGCATGGAAAAAGCCTGTATACCATACCATCTGACCAATTAGAGTTCTGGGATAGGGTTAGG